TTGTTTTCAAATTGAGTTTCTAATTTTATTTATATGGTTAGATTTAGTTTATATATTTTTTTTATTTTATAAGATGAAGTAGAAAACTGAACATTTTCCCAGACATTATTCCGAGGCAAAACAAATTTTTTGGAATGGATGTACTTGTATTATGTGGGGGAAAATATACTATGACATTTGGGAAAAATAACTGATTAGAGTTTTAATAGTATGAAAGTACTATTGTATTTGGCAAAGATAATTGATTTCCATTGTTGAGCTATTTTTGTAATTGAAGTCGGAAATAAAAATGTATTTGGCAAAGTTTTTTTTACACCGTAGGTGTTTTTTGAAGATTGTGATTTACGCGAGATTTGTGTAAATGGAATATTGGTGCCTCAAATGCTCTCGTCACTTACGCATGAGCCCAGTGAGAAAGTGGTTCTGACCCGATCGACCGGACGTCTTTATTTGAAAATAGTGAGTTGTCCCATCGTGGATGAAGTCCAGGGGAATCTGGCTGATGCTGCACCGGTGCCCGATCGTCTGGGAGCATGCGCGGATGGGGTTGATGAACTACCCTTCGTCCCTTGCAGCGATGTCAGAACGGATTCTGCGTATCGAGACGTGCCTTTAAGTGAAACGAACGACTCGGTTGTTATTAATGAAGGATTTATAATTTTGATCGTATTAATGGTGACGTTGATTATGGTGGTAATGATGATAATGTTCGTTAAGAGAATCTCGTAGATAACTGTGTTAGAAATGAGGATGTGGGTGTTAAGGGGGGTGATAATGACGGAATTAAAATTGGTATCAATGACTGTAATGAGAACGACGACAGCTATAATGATGACGGTCGCGTTGGGGATGATGAATATTTTGATGATAATAACGAGGTTAATGTTGTAATTGAAGAACAGATTGGGGGTGATATTTTTGATGATGAGAGGTGGAACAATGATGGTGATCATGAGACTGACGCTGAGGTCCGCTTCGGCAACGCGTGCAAAGGGGTGGTACAACGTTGCGGTCCGGAAATTCTCTCGTGAAAGTATGTCAAGTATACGTGACGAACGAAACAAGTCGGTCTTCCAACAACGTAGGAAATCCGTCGTTACCGGTCGATTCGGACGAGGCTCGAGATCGAGACCAACTTAATACAGACGCCGATCAGGAGACCGAGACCGCTATTGCTGAGGCCCTCCGTCGTATTAAAGAGGAAGCTATTGGATTGGCGAGGCAGCAACGCGAATCACTGGTTTCTCTAATTTTAAAGTATGAGTCGTTATTTTCGGGCGAGCTTGGATGTGCGTCGACGTATGTCCATCGAATCCAGCCGCGAAGGGAAAAACCCTTAATTCGGCATTCGTATTCAGTGCCTTACGCGCTGAGGGAGGCGGTACAGGTTGAGGTCGAACGGATGTTGGCTTCGGGTATTATAGAGAGGTCGGAAAGTCCTCACGTTAACTAGCGGCGGATCGTGCAAAAAAAAGGACGGGCGAATTTGGCTTTGCCTTGATGCCCGAAATCTTAATAATTTTATCGAAGGGGATCACGAGGCGCCACCGCGTATCGATGAGATTATACAGAAGTACCATGGGGTTCAATATATGTCTTTGAGACCGGACTTTCTTTTTCTCATGCTTTATTATTTCAATTTTGATTTTGTCCAGAATATCGAAAGTCCGCTCCCGACGCGGCCTGGGTCAAGGGCTGTCGGGGCTGAAACTTGGCCGTAAAAGAGTTGGGCGCCAGTTAATTTTAATAAAATTAACAAAAACAATTCCATTTATTTTATTTTACGAAACAATTAATTAGGGTTCAAATGGGATAACCCAAAAGGAAGGAGATTCCGAATTTCCAAGAACATTGAATAAACTAATTGAGCAGAATATACAGGTACTTACGAAATGAAACGCGTTTCCGAAGGTCCTTCGGAAACCGACTCTCTTGGTTTAATAATACTTGCTCCATATGATCTTCCTACTTAGATTAACTTAACAATTAAATTTACAATTAAAGGCATGCAATTGCCAAAAGTAACGAACGGGTCGAGAGTTAATTTGAGAGTGATTCTCTACGTGTTAAGAGGGGGAATCGGTGACTTCGGGTACCGGACCGCGAGCTCGTAGGCGACACTTAAATCATACTCGACAACCGGCGCCGAATTCAAAATTGACGGTAGATCGTGGTTCCGTCGCTTTAAGGCCTTAAAAGTGTTGAATATACTATAGGTTTCGGTGGGATCAGTCGCGAGACGTTGAGGCAAAATTTTCTGTTACATCTTTTATCGATTTATCGCATGGTTATTGGCAAATCCCTCTTGATCCGGAATCGCGCCCCTTTACCGCTCTCCGTGTGGGCACGGCACTGTATCAGTTTTGTCGCGTTCCGTTTGGTCTTAAGACTGCGGGCAGCGCATTTATTCGCGCGTTGCATGCAGCTCTTGGTCCGGAATTTGATGCTTTTTTGACGACATATCGACGTGCTTATCGCGTCAGAGAGTTCCGACGCACATTTGGGGCACCTAGACTTAATTTTTAAACGACTTCGTGAGTGTAATTTTACCTTGAATCTCGCTAAATCGGTGTTCTGTAAGCAGTCGCTTAATTTTTTAGGTTTCGTTTTATCAATTCACGGAGTAGTTCCGGATCCAAAAAGGCTTGAGGTGATTCATAGTTTTGCGGAGCCCCGGAATAAAAGACAGCTCCAACAGTTTTTGGGCTGTTGTAATTATTATCGACAGTTTTGCGTTAATTATTCTAAATTTCTTGATCCCTTTCGCGAGTTGCTATCTACGGATGCTCCGTGGAATTGAACCACAGAGTATAGTAAACAGTATGTTGCATTCAAGGAAATCTTTCTACGTGCTATGATACTCTATCATTTTGATCCGTCCAAACCGTCTCGTCTTGAAACTGATGCTTCTGATCATGGGATATGCGGAGTCTTGTATCAGCTTGATGGCGAAAATGGGCCGCGTTTGGTAGCGATCGTTAGTAGATGTCTGACGGTCGCGGAATCGCGATATACGGTGACCGAGCGGGAGGTTTCGGCGATCGTGTTCTCAGTTTCAAAATTCCGCGTATACCTAGTTGGTTCAAGATTTACGGTCGTATCCGATCATAAATGTTTAACTTTCCTCGGAAATACTGTTTATCAGAATGCTCGTATTCAACGCTGGTGTTTGTTG